GGGCTCAGAGAGGGAGGGAGCGCCCCAAGGGCACACAGCAGCCCCTGGCATTCCTGTCTATGGGCTGACTGCACCCATCCTCGATGCCCCCTTTGAGGGCTGCTCGGCAGCGCCCAGGGGGAGAGACGAGGGTCCCACAGCAGTCTCTGCCCAAGACAAGCATAGTGTCCCTGCTTTCCGGTCCTGGTCCCTACAGGACATCAGCAAGAGGCTCTCTCTGCCCACGGACATCCGCCTGCCTCCGGAGTTCCTGCAGAAGCTTCAGCTGGAGAGTCCGGCCTTGCCCAAGCCGCTTAGCCGCATGTCCCGCCGCGCTTCCCTGGTGAGTTCCAGACAGAGGAGGAAAGACAGGGGTCGTCAGGGAGGGACACCCTCTCCCCAGCCTGGACATACATGTGCTGGCATTACCTGTCCCTGCTACCTGCATCCATTTCTGGAACGGCTGCTGGGGCTCTGATGCCACCTGCTGGCCATAGCAGATTCAACTAGCCATCCTTGTATAGCATCCGTTCCCTGGGACGGTCCTCTGAGGCCAACGTCACTCTCCAGTCCCGGGGTGCTCCACCAGGGTAAGATCAGTCCACCAGCTGGAACCTGGTTCTGAGACCTGGCTGCCTGTCAGACGTGCCTGGGAGCATCTTACACACAGAGACTTGCCACTACCTACAGGTTCAGGGCCACGGGATCAGCACAGTTAAGGGTTGAGAACCACTGACCTCCATGCTGAGGAGGGAGACAGAGCCAGGCACGAGATGAGATGGAGAAAGGGGCACAGGACCTGCCCTCAGGAGCTTGTCATCTGGACTAGGCAGACAGGGAGGAGACTAGGGTGTGGATCCGTCCCAGGAGCCAACGTTCCACCGGGTGCTGGGAGGGACCCACCTCACACTGCCATGGGCCCCTTCCTCTCTCGGAGAAAGAGGAGAGGAGACCAGGAGACCACGGTGGTCCTGGTACCCTCAGCTGTTCTTCTTCCTTCCAGCAGGCTGGAGGTCGGGGAGAGGAGTGTGTTGTGTTGTTGGGGCCCCTGGGTGGGGGTGCCCCAGGGGGCTGTCACTCACAGGAGCACCCTTCTCTCCTCAGTCAGACATCGGCTTCGGGAAACTGGAAACATACGTGAAGCTGGACAAACTGGGGGAGGTAAGAGGCTCGGTCTTCTGGGGCAGGGTGGCTGCGAGGCAGGCAGGGCCTCCAGACACCCAGCTCTCCCCATCACTGCTTTGCCTGGATGCGGAGGGGTCCGATCCGGACCCTGCAGCCAGGTGCTGCAGTGACCCTGGTCCTGGCAGGTGCAAACGTGGAGAGTCCACAGCCTTCCTCTCTGCAAGGACTCCTTGCGTGGGTTCTGAGGCCCTGGGCAAGCACGTGGCCTCGCTTCCTTTGTCTGTCGAACGGAGACATCGTTGTTCGTCCTCATAGGATTGGGAGGCTTAAACACTCCCCACTTTTCATTAAACACGATAAAGCTTCTTGCGGTCCTTGGGTGGTGCAGATCGTTCACACACGCTGCCGCTCCCTGGGAGGCCACCCAGAGGTGGCTCGGGAGAGAGGCCTGGTGATCTGCTTCTGCACACTCTGCCCCTGAAAGCCTGGTGGGGAGGCAGGAAGTTGGCGGAGACTCGGTGATACGTTGATAACACTGAGACAGGTCAGACACACAATGAAAACCCCAAAAGCAAATCCAAACTCCCTGCTACCGAGCAGACCCTGACTCAGAGGACAGGGCGGAACTGCCTCTGTGGGCTTCCAAGGCTGTAAGTCTTTATAGGAGTAGAAAGCCTCCTTTTTCGCTTGGGGAGTGACTGGGTGGCTTCGAACTGCTGACCTTGTGGTTCGCTGCCCAATATGTAACCACCATGCCAGGAGGGCTCCTGGAACAACCTGTATGCCTAACCATTAGTCATCATGGTGTCGGGCTGGAGGTGGGGGAGGTTCACAGAGAAGGACGACTGGGTCCTCCCCCTTGAGGACCACAGGGAGGAGCCTCCGTGTGAGGTCCGCACAGCACATGGAGAGCAAAAGGAGCATCCTCACAGGAGGCCAGCACCCCACAGGCAGAGGCAGGAGCAGGTCACCCCGGAGGCAGAGGCAGGAGCAGGTCAGTCTATAGGAAGGGCTTCCCAGAGGAAGGGCCTTTGGAAGGAAGAGAACTTCAGTGACATGGGGAGGATGCTTAGGCTAGGGATGCAGCCCACCGGCAGGCCCTGAGCGGGGAAGGGTCTGGACACGGGTGACGGGGCTTGACCAGGGCCCGGGGCTGATGAGGTCCTTGTTCCAGGGCACCTATGCCACAGTCTTCAAGGGGCGCAGCAAGCTGACGGAGAACCTGGTGGCTCTGAAGGAGATCCGGCTGGAGCACGAGGAAGGGGCCCCCTGCACAGCCATCCGAGAAGGTATCGCCCACCCAGAGAGCTGCCTTTCCCACGAGCACCCTGGCCCAGGGCACTGGGAGGACCCTGGGAGCGGAGGTCCCTTCCAGAGTAGGGATTATGGGGGCCAGTTCCAGAAGGAGCGGGCCTAGGGGCACCTGAGGCCGGCCTCAGGGACCTGGCGGACCTGTCTCCCCGCAGTGTCTCTGCTGAAGAACCTGAAGCATGCCAACATCGTGACCCTGCACGACCTCATTCACACGGAGCGGTCCCTCACGCTGGTGTTCGAGTACCTGGTGGGTGGGGATGGCGGGCCCATCTCTGCGCTGGGGGTCCTCCAGGATGCCCCCGAGCAGGGTGGGATAAGGGCTCTGGCCTGGGCACAGCTGGGAACCCAGGGCCTGATACTCAGCCCATCCTATGGCCTGTCGCACCGCTGGGCTTGGGCTTGAGGTGGGCCTCGGAGGGGCTTCCGGTGAATGGTCAGGACAGGCTCTGTGTTCCAGGACAGCGACTTGAAGCAATACCTGGACCACTGTGGGAACCTGATGAGCATGCACAACGTCAAGGTGAGGGCCTCCGTGCCAGGGACCCCCACCTGGGGACCCACTCTTGCTCTGCTTGCTCAGCCCTTGTAGGCAGAAGGGAAGGGGCCAGGCCTTCAGTGAGCCCCAGAACCTGGGCCCAGGGCCTTCCTTTCTTGCCTCCTGCCTCTGCCTCTGCTGATCCGTTTCCCCAGCTGCCAGAGGGTGTCCCCCGCCAGAGTAAAGGAAGTCTTGGGGGAGCGCAGCCAAATGGCCCGACCCTCCCGCCTTTGTCAGAGTGGAGTACGAGCTACTTCACCTGGCGTGCTTCCGGCCCCCCTGCACACAGAGCCGTCCTCTCCGATGACGCTCCCGCCTGGACAGAACCAGCTTGTCCAAGCCTAGTCCCACCCCTCCTCGGCCCCAGAGGGACACAGCCCCTCTTCATGACTGCTTGCTTCTCCCCTCCCGCCAGATCTTCATGTTCCAGCTGCTCCGGGGGCTCGCCTACTGCCACCGTCGCAAGATCCTGCACCGGGACCTGAAGCCGCAGAACCTGCTCATCAATGAGAGAGGGGAGCTGAAGCTGGCTGACTTTGGTGAGGGCCGGCCCGGGGTCTGGAGTGTGGGTGCTGGGGGGTGGGGGATGGGCTGGAACGTCGACCTAGTGCACCTGTGGGTGGAGGCTCAGCACCCTGTCTGTCCCCAGGTCTGGCCCGGGCCAAGTCAGTGCCCACAAAGACCTACTCCAATGAGGTGGTGACGCTGTGGTACCGGCCTCCTGATGTGCTGCTGGGCTCCACGGAGTACTCCACCCCCATCGATATGTGGTGAGTGGGGCGTGGGGCCTTCCCACACCTCCAGACTCTCCTTTGCTGCTCCGGGTTTCTGAACGCGGAGCATATAGATGCTCCCTGGGTGAACATCTGGGATGTGCCCCCAGGAGAGGGCAGGGGATGTCAGAAGCTCCTGGGGGGATGGGATACCCTCCCCCCCCCACTGTAGATGCAAGAAAACAATTCCTAAGTGTCACTTGGAATGGAGGTCTTGGGAGGGGTGCCTTATTATCTTCATGTTAAAATTAACACCCCAATACTACTAGTGGATGAAAAGCTAAAGCAAAGTGTCCCATCAAAGACTAGGTGTCCTGTGCCCCAAGGTTCTCCTGGAGAGGGCTTCTGTGTGCAGCCTCTCCATCCGAGGGGTGGACCGTGGTGAGAGCATGACTCAGGATGCTAGTCCAAGCTCCCAGCGTGATGGAGCCCACCATAGAGGCTGCCGTCGGGCCTAGGCTGGGCTGGGCTGGGAGCCACCACTGCCCTGTCACCAGCGCCCACCCGTGGCCTGACGCTTCCCCTGCTCATTGCTCCCCACAGGGGCGTGGGCTGCATCCACTACGAGATGGCCACAGGGAGGCCCCTCTTCCCCGGCTCCACAGTGAAAGAGGAGCTGCATCTCATCTTCCGACTCCTGGGTCAGTGTCCTGCCACTCCAGCCCACGCACACCAGGGGGCGCTGGAGCTCCACCCCACCTGGCACCCGAAGCGACTGCACTGGGCTGCAAACCGGTGGCCTTGCCCCTTCTCTGCCCTCACCACCCACGCTGCACCCCTCACCCATGCCCTCCACTCCCTCTCTTCCCTCTAGGGACCCCTACAGAAGAAATGTGGCCAGGTGTCACGGCCCTCACGGAGTTCCAAGCCTATAACTTTCCCCGGTACCTGCCCCAGCCGCTCATCAGCCACGCTCCCAGGTATCCTGGGCCATAGGTAGCTCCTGTCTCCCACATCACCCCCTGGCCCTGGCTTCCCCTCCACAAGAGCCCTCCCCATCACGTCCCCCACCCCACCCCAACCCCACAACAAGGCCTGCATCTGCTCTTTCCCCCAACAGATTGGACCCTGACGGCATCAACCTCCTCTCCAGCCTCCTCCTGGTGAGTGTTCGTCTTTCACCCAGCGGGGACGGGGATGGGGACAGGCAACTGAGACCCAGGGCCCCGCCCTGGGCCCTGCACCCCACTTCATGACCTTCATGCTCAGAGTCTCTCTCTCTCTCTCACATACACACTCTCCCACCCCCAGGCCCATGAGGAGTGCTTGTCTCCTACAGACTTCCACTCACTCTGAACTCCAACCCTGACTCCGACCCTGGGTGCCTTTGAGTCTGCTCCGTTCCTTTCCCGCGCCTGCTTCTCAGCAGCAAAGTAGAATTAACCAGGCATCTTTTATAACGGCTGTGAGGATGGGTGAAGGGGATGAAACCCCCTGAGGACGGTGCCAATCGGACAGTAAGCGCACATTTGGGAACAGTTGCTCTGTTCAATATTAACGTCACTGAGAGTCCTGGCCGAGTCTGGGACAGAATCTCCATCCCAGGAGCCTGTGACAAGGCCCATTGCTGGCTCCTCTTCATAGCATGGGACCCTTGGGGCTAGGCTGGAAGAGGGGTGTTGCTCAGATGAAACCGAGACTCACCCCCATGGGGGTAATCTAACAGTGTGGGAGCAGCGCTGCCCTGAAAGGTTCCCATGCCCTCCCCAGCCAGGCCCCAATGCCCCATTCGTACTATGCCTTTCAGTACGAATCCAAGAGCCGTGTGTCGGCAGAGGCGGCCCTCAGCCACCCCTACTTCCGGTCTCTGGGTGAGGACGTGCACGAGCTAGAAGACAGTAAGTGCCACTCGGGAAGGGAGGCGGCGCTATGGGAGGCTGAGGCAGAGGCGGCCTAGGGCTCTGGTCTTCCTCTTGGGTTCTCATCAGGGGTGCTGGGGTACAGGCCTGCAAGACTCAGCTGGACCCCGCCCCTGGACCTCAGGGACACTGTGTCGGAGTGGGAACAGCAGGTTCCCAAGCAGGAACCTCAGCCCCAACTTCCCCTGCCTTTCTCTCCCCCACCCTGCCCCCCTCCAGCTGCCTCTGTCTTCTCCCTGAAGGACATTCAGCTCCAAAAGGATCCAGGCTCCCGGAGCCTGGCCTTCCATCAGCCAGGTAGGCTGTGTGCCTCCCACACCACCCTTGATTGGAGAAGCAGGAGGAAACTTCCTGGGGTCCCCAAGGCTGGCCCCCTCAGGAGAACAGGGAAGGGCCACTTCCGTTCTCTTGCCCAGGCCTCCCCAGCCTGCGTCTGACAGAGGGGGTCCTGACACAGGTGCCTGCTTGTGAGCATCCTTTCTGCAAACCTGAGCTCGCTAAACAGCTCCGTCCCCCGGGAAACAGTCCTTTGTCTTTGCAACCCCAGGCAACTGTTGCCAGATTTCACAGAGACCTTCAAGTACCCCTGGACCTGGTGTCATCGGCGCGTGCTCCCGTTTCTCAGTCTGTGAAACTGAGGCTCGAAGAGGCTGAGTCACAGCCGAAATGGGGTTCTAGCCCAGCCTCCCCGTGTCACTGCTCTAGGGACACACATGTCCCTCCGATTTCTATACCCCCACAACTCTCCCTTCCCCCTCTGCTCCCCAGGAAGAGGGAAGGGCCGGCGACAGAGCATCTTCTGATCCGAGCGCCCTGCTGCAGCTGAGCTGGGAGCGGTCACCCCTCGGGAGGACGGGGCCTGTGCTGTCTCAGACTGAGTCAGAAGGACTGCCCGGCGTGGCCACCCTGCTTCCCATGCGCCTCCCTGTGGCCTCTGCCTGGCCATCAACCCCTCTGTCACCACCCTTGGGTGGTGCCTGAGCTGCTTCCCTGGTGGGAATGGAGGTGGCCTCAGACTGCTTCCTACCAGACAGAAAGCAGGTGCCAGGCTGAGCACCATGCCCCACTAGGGGCACCCTCATCCTCCATCCTTTACCACCTTCCCCACTGAGAGCAGAAAGGGGTGTGGCAGCTCGGCTGGGGTCCCAGAACCCTGGGTGCCAATGTGAATGCTAAATCCTCCCTTCCCCTGAGGGTCTGGCGCCCCCAGAGTCCCCTACCTCTTGTCACTGCCTGCACCACCTCTCTCTTCTGAGGTCCCACACCCCTCACGTTCCACCAGAGGCTGGTGGCACTGGGATGGTGACAGGTGTTCCTGTGCCCACCCCAAACCCCTCCCCCTGCCTAGTCTGAGTAGAGTGGCCTTAAATGGCAGGTGGTGGAGCCCCTGGAGCTCAGACCCCAGTGCCTACCTGTCCCCCCTCCCAAGAATGACTCCTGCTTATCACCCTGAGCCTGATAAGCCAGCCCTCAGTCCAGGGCCTGGGGAAGGGCCCCAGATATGAAGGGTCACCCTGACCTTGGTGACAGGCCACCTTGGCTCCTTGGGACTGGCCCAGCCTTCCTGGTCCCTTCCATCCCAGGCCCTGTGACTCTGTCCTTGATAGGTCACACAGAGGAGAGCAGTCATGGGCCAAGGTCGTGAGCCAAGGTCGGCACAAGAGGTAGGTGGGAACAGATTGTCCTGAGAGCCCAGCCCCAGGCTGGAGGCCCCAAGGAAGGCCCCTGTCACCACCCCCGCCCAGCAAGCTTCTTCTACCCCAAGCTTCCTTAGCACAGGACTGAATGTTGGCAGAGGCCAGCACCCTCCCCGCCTCGGCCTTTCTAAACAAGCCCCCTGCTGCAGCTCCCCTCAGCCTGAGGGGACTCCCCAAAGCCCCTCTTCCCCACCCCCAGGGATGCCTCCCTCCGGCCCTTCCCCACTGTACTGTGAATGTCCCGTGACTCAGCACAAAGACAGATAATATATTTAATTCATGTTGTACGGAAGGAGCGCGCTGTCTCCTGCAGAAAAGCTGACTGATTGTTGCCAAAGATGAAGGAGCCGGGCCCTTCTCCAGGCCTGCAGAGCGAGGGGAGGCTGGCTCTCACAGACGTGTGTGTGGTGTGTGTATGCGTGTGCCCATGTAGGTGGAGATGCCTCGTTCTCAGCCAGAGCCGCCCGTGATAATGGGGATGGCAGAAGAGGCGCCATCGGGCCTGGGCGTCTGGGCGCTGCAGCCTGGGCTTGGCTGGCCAGAAACGGAAAGAGGGAGGGAGCTGGTGTTTCTGACTGGTCTTGCTTCTCCCTGAGTCTCCACCCCAAACGGCTGCCTGTCCTCCTGGGAAGAAGGGAGGCTTGAAAAAGGCCAACTCCAGGACAGCAGATCTGGAATTGTTTTTCTAATTAAATAGAAAACAGCTGTTGCTGTTATTGATCTAGACTAGCAAGCCCCAGGTGTGTCAGAGGAGACCTGCCCTCCCTGGGGCTTTCAGCGGCTGCTTTTTCAAAATCCGATCACCGATTCTGCGGAGGCAACCCCAGGAGGCCTTGAACCCCCAACTCTTTGCTTAGCTGCCAAGCACAGTATCCATTGACACCACCCGACCGCGCTGTAATGCTGGCCCAGCCTTTAATGCCTATCAATCTTGAATTCCCTTCTGCTCCCCAAACCACTTCTGCCTTGGTGCTGCGCACACCTGCCTTTCACACGCCTCTGCCAGGGCTCCTGGAATCTGCTCTCTGGTCCAAGTTAGAGGCCAAGCCATGTCTCCCAGCTCTCGCCTGTCCCATAGGCTCTCTGGTCTTAAGAACTTTCTAGTTTGCTCACATATTTCCAGAGGAAGACGCTAAAACGGAAGCTTGGGTGGTGTCTCCCCAGACCACACTGGAAGGGAGGTGTACACCAGGGCTCGGTTAGCCCAGCAGCGCCAGTCACACCAGACCGGATCCCCGACTTCTCTACAGACTACCAGATGCCCACTGCAGGCCCGCAACATGGCTGAGCAGCCAGGGCCTGGTGGGGGAAGAGGGCCCCCAATCGCATGGGTGCAAATCTGAGAAGTGCTTGGGGGCGTTTTTAAGGCTTTAAGCGGAGTTCAGAAGGAGACAGGGCCTCGCTTTCTTACAGCTCCCTCCTCTGTTCCAGGCACTGTGTCGGATGGTTGTCTTTGTGAATCCTCCCAGGCACCCCACTTCTCCCCGCTTTTGCAGATGCGATAAACAAGGCTTGTAGGGGCTCAGAGATATGCCTGGGGAACACTCACATTAGAACCTCAGGAGCCCGGAACTCGAGCCATGGGGGCGAACCCCCAGGCCGTCTCCCCCCAGCTCTTGAGGGCTCACGTAACAGCTGTTCTTGCAGCTGCTGGGAACTGCGTGGCGGCCCACATCCCAGGATGGGGCTCCCGAGGGCTGTCTTGGGACACTAGTGGGCAAGGGCTCAGCTGGACAGGGCACCACCAGGCCTCGATTTAGACGTGGTCTCCATTTCTGGTGGTGGCTATCACAGAAGACCACGGAGCAGGTGGCTTAGAGCAGCAGACATGTGTTCAGGCCGGTCATGCGGAAGGTTCAGCAGGAGGACCTGTTCTCTGCCTTTCTCGTTGCTTCTGGGGTTGCTGGGAACCAGGAGGATCCTGGGATTGTAGAAGCATCGCTCATTTCTTGGCTTCCATCACCATGTGGCAATCTCCCTGGGAGTTGGTGTTTCTTCCCAAAGGACGCCAGTCTTACTGAGTTAGGGCCCGCACCACGACTTCAAAGGAGCCCTGGTGGCATAGTGGGTTTTGTGTTGGGCTGCTAACCCCAGGGTCAGTGGTTCAAACCCACCAGCCGGTCCACAGGAAAGCTTCCGTAAGATTGATGGTCTCAGAACCCACTGAGGCAGTTCTACTCTTCCCTGTGGGGTCACTTTGGGTCAGAATCAACTCACTGACCATGGATTTGGTGGGAGCATTTTCTCTGTTACATCTCTGATTGCATCTGCCAAGACCCTGTTTCCAAATTAGGTCTCATTCATTGGAGCCAGCGAGTGTTTGACTGGAGCATGTATTTTGGGGAACACTTCCACCCCTAACTGCTCCAGGGCTTTCTGGGGACATGGTGACTGAGCAAAGGACAGCCGGATTGGGGAGCAGAGAGAGGCCAATGGCTTTGGTTATGAGCTGTCAGAGCAGGAGGGCTGCAGGCACTACCAGGAAGCTTCCCCACCCCCACCCCCACCCCCAACTGAGCCCTGTCCTGGCCCCTCTCCTGCTTGGGTACCCTCCACAATCAACTCCTCACACCTCACATGGGCTCTAGGGAACCAGCCAGTCCTGTTCGGCTGGCATCCCAGCCAAACACACTTTCACAAGTCCTTTCCCCTTTGGCATCCCTTTGTCGCCTGCTCCTGGGCAGGCTCCGGAAGGCCCAGGACTTGCCCGCTTTGTGTACCCTGCTCACTCTGCAGGAGCACATGTGGGGGAGCCCTGCAGCTGCCTGCCACGAAGCCCCATCTGATGACAGCTGCAGGCCGTGGGTTGATGCCAGCTCCTGCGCATGCCTTGCCCACATTTGCTGCATCCTAGTGGCACCCGGGCTGGGTCTGCCTTCCCCCACCCTTCCTGTAGGTGTTGCTCTCTGCGTCCAGTGGCCAGTGCTGTGTAATCTGAATTAGTGTCCACTGGTTTTAATTTCTAGGTTCTAATATCCATTCAAGGGGTTTCACAGAAACTCAGCAACTAAAATTCATAATGAGAGGGTTTATTAGGGAAGTGAACCAGTGGTGATGCCAGTGGGAATTGTTTACCAGGATATGCTACCAAGACTCGGCTCTGCTGATAAACGCCCAAAGGGCCTTACTGCTCTGCGGGAAGCCTCACCCCAAAGGCACTCAGCTCCAGCTCTGTGGGTTAGCAAACCCAGCTCCCCGAATGAGGTGCCAGAGGCACCCCACTCCAGTAAACCTCTCCCCGAAGCCACTCAGCTCCACTTCTGTGTGTTCACCAAGTCCAACTTCCCGAACACGATGCCCAGAGGCCCCCCCACTCTGCAAACCAGCTTCCGGCACAGAAGCACTCCGCTGTACTCTGCGCCAGCCTCTGACTCTGGTTCTGCTGCTGCTCCGCCGATGTAGCTGTCCTCTGGAGCCAGGAGGTTCTCTGCACAGGGATCCCGGGTCCAGGGCACACGCTCCACTCCTGGCTCTTGCTGATCATGAGATCCCTCCTCCTGCTTCTCAGAGGGCTCATATATACACAGCAGGATGTCTTTCCAGGGACCCCGGGTCACAATCACTCAACTGAATCTGATCAGTGTCTCCCCCCACCTTCTTAGCAGAGCCACGCAGGGAAAGGTGATTTGGTAGGAGTTAGAGACTTTGGTCAGAAGAGCCACCTTCAGTCATTCACTGGCCCCATGAGGGCAACTGGTGCCCACCAGGGTCCCCCCGGCCATACAGTGGGGAGCGTGGTTGCCGGTCTGGCTGTTGCTCTTCTAAGCCTTTCAGAGTGCCCGCCACCCAGCCCGTCTCTGCCACCTCCATCTTGGCTCTGCCCCCTGCTTACAGCTGGACTCCATGGCACCCCAGGCACTTTTAGCTCCCCAGAAAGTTCACAGCCTCCGACTGTAGCCCTGTGCCGGGACCAAGATGAACAGCGCCCCTCCACACACCTTCCAGGAGCTCTGTCTGCCCTGTGGGCAGAGATGGTCATTCTCTCAGCAGACTCCTCGTGGGCCCCGGCGGTGTGCCAGTTTGTAAGCGGGACAGACAAGCCCCTGTTCTCAGAGCTTCCTTTGTAAGGTGGGTGGCAGTTATTACCCAAACACACACAGCAAGGCAGCAGGAGTATGATGCAGCAACATAAGGCAGCCTGCAAGCCGAGGGTCGGGCTGGACAACGGCGGGGACCCCTGGTACAGCCCAGGGTAAACCGTGGCTGACGGAGGAGAGGGCCATGTGGACACAGGAGCCAGCAGAGGCCCCCCCCCCAAAGGAACCTGATATTTGAGGAAAACAAAGAGGAGACAGAGGCACGAGAGGCATGCTGATCTCCATAGGGATGCCTGGGTGGTGAAAGTGCTTGACTGGGTTTGAGTCTTCCCACTGGTACCTCAGAAGAAAGGCCTGGAGATCCACTCTGGGAAAAGCAGCCACTGGAAGACTTTGGAGCACAGTTCTACTCGGACCCACACGGGTTGCTGTGAGCTAGAGTGGGACTCCATGAGACATGGATTTGGGCGGGGGGTCCTGGTGGGGCTGCAGGTTGTTGGGCCACTCACCACAAGGTCTGAGGTTCTCAACCAGCAGCCAGTCCAAGGGGGAGCGAGGAGAGCTTCTGCTCCTGTGAAGAGTTACCGTCTTGGAAACCACAGGGGCGGCGCTCCCTGTGGCTCTGAGCTTTGAGATACCGGTGATTGCATGGCATGGTGAACGTACCAAATGCCACCCAAAGTGGTTACTCTCCCATTATGGATCTACAACATCAGTTGTTGTGGGGTTTTTTTTAATCATTGTATTGGGGGCTCTTACAGCTCTTTTAACAATCCATAGGTCAATTGTATCAAGCACATTTGTACATATGTTGCCATCATCATTTCCAAAACATTTTCTTTCTACTTGAGCCCTTGGTATCAGCTCCTCCTTTGCCCTTCCCTCCCTCCTCCTCCTACCCCACCCTCCCACCCTGGTGACCACTTGATAAATTATAAATTACTATTATTTTCATATCTTACATGGACCGCTGTCTCCTTTCACCTGAGTTTCTGTTGTTCATCTCCCTCGGGGTGGGGTGGTTATGCATCGATGCCTCCTTTCTCCACTGCCCACTCTCCCCCCTACCCTCCTGGTATCGCTACTCCCATTACTGTTCCTGCGGGGCTTATCTGCCTGGATTCTGTGTGTCACGAGCTCTTATCTGTCTCTGTATGCATGCTCTGGTCTAGCCAGAACTGAAAGGCAGGTCTGGGGTCAGGATAGTGGCAGGGGTTGGGGGCGGGTGAGGAAGCCTCAAGGAACCAGAGGAATA